TTAATTTAAATGGCATAGTACAGTTTTTCTATGATGACCTCTGGCTATACTTACACATTAAGAGATGTCAAATAATGTTTATAAAACACTGGAAGGAATTATTTGGGATGATTTAGGCCTATTTTTCAAATTTTATTTTTCTGCATTGATTTATTTTAAAAGTATGTAACATTTTATGAAACCAGTAATGTTATAATTCTTCACTACAAAAAGATGAAACCAAATAAAATATATTGGAATGGATCCCAGAAGTTGGGCTCAGCAAAGACATTTATTACAAACCCCTCGATACATCCATTACAGTCTCAGATTTGTTTGGCAGGCACTTTGTAAACTCCTCTGTGCGGTTAGGTAGGAAGAACTATAATTAAAAACTGGTTTAAGGAAATGACCCCTAATTTAAGGAACATACATTTTAGTTAGGGGAAAATGTGAGAAATTAATACAAAACAAGTGGTAAGACAGAATATCATTAAACAACTTTCTTAAATGTTTACAATCCATCCTCTGAGGGCCCTAAAGACCATGAGATGATAATGTACCTGGGTTATCTCAGAAAATTCCATAGGGGAGGTTTTAAATGAGTTTCATCCTTTGCTAAGATAAGGAGACAGGATATTAAAACAACTGATTAGGCAAGAAAACCATGTACGTCAAACCTCATTTTCAGCTGTCACCTACTTTTCATGTCACTGGATGTGCTTTCAACTGCCTAGTTGGTAGTCTAATATTTACTGTTATAATAATTTTCAGGACATATGATACAAAAGAGCTCTTGTAGATACCATTAGCATTTGTTTTTATGCATAACAGAATGTTTTCTACCATGCATGATTAAGAAATGGGAGAGGACTAACAAAGTTTTGTTTAACATCATCAGAGAAATATTCTATGGATGCTATTTTTTTTAATTGCACTCAATTGCCTCATGTACCATGTCTATTCAATCAGAGAGCTACTCAGAAATATCCTCATAATTTTCATACATAATCCTGGTTAAGAACAGACAAACAAAAATAAAACAAAACACCTATGTCAAAAGTAGTGGGTTCCTAGGCTGAGTGATATATTTCTCATAAGGGTTCACGATCACCATCAGAACTAGGACTGAGGGATGTTGAAGCTCATTATATATATGTGTGTTGTTTTTTGTTGTTTTTTTTTAACTCTATGCTCCTAGCCCTCTCTAGGGAAGTTGGCATATGGAGGGACCTGAGGTCTGTGGTGCATCCTTTACTGCAGGGTCCTCAAGGAAACACACTGGAGTCCATTGTGTGCTGGACTACATGCACGAGATTCCAAAACCCAGGTAAAACCTATCCTTGAATTGGGTGACTATCCTGCAATTTGACACACTGAAATTGCCAGAGACCAAAAGGAAGCACATAAGGGGCAAATAAAAGTATTTCACATCCTGTTAGGGAAATCTCACAATGAGGATGGAAATTTAGATATACACACTAAAGTCTGATTTTAAGTGAATTTTGCTTCAGAATTACCAGTTTAAGTTAGAAAAGACTTACAGCATTTTTAAAAATTTAGAATGGTTTCAACGAGTTAGGGTTTCTATACAGTTACCCTAACCTAGAGATGGCAAGGAAGGTTAAAACCACATTTCTGAAACTGTATGAATGCGATATCTAATTCTCATGGGAAAAACAAATAAGAAAGAACCAGCTCTTCCTGTCTGGCTCTCTAAGGGTTGTCAGGTGTTCATCTTCCTTTGCATTGGTCCTGGAGCTAAACACTGGTTCACAAAGAACGACCTGTCCCCAAGGGCACAGCATCATTTTTATTCAAGGGTATCTAAGTAACTGTTTACTATACTGAAACCTACCGGACGCCTTATACATCCAGATAAACCTACTAGCCCATTCAGTTACTTATAAATAATTCATTTGAAACTTATTCAGCCCTGGTGGAGGGTCATCCCAGGATGCCAAGGTTGTAGGTTCGATCCCCGGTCAGGGTAGATATAAGAATCAATCAATGAATGCATAAATAAGTGAAACAACAAAATTAATGTCTCCCCATCTCTCTCTCCCACCTCCCTCTCTATAAAATCAATAAATTAAAATTTTTTAAAAACGTATTTAGCGCAGCTGGTGTGGCTCAGTGGTTGAGCATCGACCTATACACAAAGAGGCTTCTGGTTCAATTCTCTATAAAGGCACATGCCCAGGTTGTGGGCCAAATCCCCAGTGGGGAGCATGCAGGAGTGGCCAATTGATGTTCTCTCTCATCGATGTTTCTCTCTCTCTCTCTCTCCCTTTGTCTCTCTCTAAAATCAATAAAGGAAAAAAGTTTTTAAACTTATTTAGCACCTACTGAATAAGAAAAATATAATGGGTATGGTGAAAACCTTAAAGATGGACAGGAAGGTCACTATTCCCAAGGAATGAACAACCTAATGGCAAAGAGGGGAGAGCAAAATGTACATATATACGCCTGATGGAGTATAAATACTATCTGGACTCTGAAATGCTTCACATAGAACCGTTTGCTCTGCAAGATCCCTAAGGTCACGGAGCACAACTACCTTCTAAGAGAGACATGGGTGAGTGTCTGGAGATGGTTGCACACAAGGCTCTTTTCTTTCATGTAACATTTTTTTCACTTTTCATTCTAGAGTATTGGGCATATTTGGGAGGCTTAATAAGTACTACTGACTTCATTTGCACAAAATAAGCCATTCCACTAAGCTGCTTGCAAGGTTAGTCAGTCATGATTTCTTCACAGTAATTACCTTCAGTTTATTTTTGACAATTTTTTACCTTAATTGACTTCATTTAAAGGCCCCATTTTTCCTCCATCTGTTTCATTTTACAGGATCGTCCAGGAAATCTTAGAGTTGCTCCCTCTCCTCCAATGTGTCATTAGTGAACCTGAATTTTAGCACCTATGGCAGACTCACGTCATAGAGCACCGTGCTGCCCCTTGGTGTCTATAGGTCTACAATATAGGCTAAAGGATTTGACAGTCAGACCATACCCAAGATTAATGATTTAGACTTTGGAGCTAGCTGTGCCTTGGCTTGTATTTTAGCTGTGTCATTTCTGGGTAAACCTCCTTAATTCTCTGGGCCTCAGTCTCTTCAGCTGAAGAAAGTGGAAAAAACTCTACTGCGTATAATTGAAGTAGGGACTAAATGAGGTAACCTTTGTCAAAATCCCTATATCACTGCATTAAATATGGGCAGTGCATATGATTTTACTTCTCCATTCCTTCATTAAGGTAGCTTCATTATTTCTATTACTTTGTAGTCTAAAAGAAAGCAGGTTAAAAAGAACACTGATATCCTTTATTGCCATTTTAATTTGCTAACAAGTCAGCTAAAATACTCTGACAATACAATTTTTAACACGTAAGATGTTCACTGGCGTGCAGGACTTCTAGGTAACGATTAGATTTTAAAGGAGCCTGACTTGCAGACCTGAGCACCTGAGAGGATCCTGATTAACTGGTACACGTTGTCATTGACTTCCAGCTCTGAAGTCAGCTAAGTAATTAAAGAGCGAGGCCCCGTGCATTGAATTTTCTAAAACTCATGATATAATACTGACTCTACTGAAGTTGTTAGCAGACTATTTTTAACTGAAGGTCACCGACTTTAAATTACTTAGGATATCATAACATGGCATTTTTTAGGACATTCTTTATATATCATTCTCCCATTACAGTTTTCTATTTCAGAAGCTACTCACATTAAATGACTTATTTTACAACATGCAAAAGGCTAGCAAAAAACAAAAACAAAATAAAAAACATCAGTATATGTGTAAGTGTGGTTATACATAAACACACACACACATTTTGGGCTACACAAAAACTATGAAATTATTTAGCCTTGAAAATAATGCAAAAGAGGTAAGTATGCTACACTTAAACAATTGAAACAAAAATAAATTCTGCTTCCCATAAGATATCTTATATAAAAAATATATGTCCTATTCAAACACTTTTTATTAAAAGTATGTTCCTGGAAGTTAGCAAGATTCCTGGTACATAGTAGGCAATCAATAAACCTTTACTAAAAAATAAAAATAAACAAGTCAAAATCTTGCTTGAATTTTACAAACAGAAAAACTCTGCAAATAAGAAATACCCTAAGTTGCCAAGAAAATAAGTGGCAGAACCAGTAATAAAGTTCAGGTCAATAAATTTGTAGTTTCTATCATTTCACAAAATGTTACAATGACCTGGGTCATTATCATTTATTACCCTTATTCAGAGGTGAAACAACTAAGAAATGAAGCCATTTGGTCCAGAGTTCCAACAGGCAGATTCAGTAGAGAATTACAATGTTCAACCCAGGATTGGTCTATTTCCATCTTTTTAATTCTCATCTTCCTTTTCCCTGAATGCTGCTGTTGAGTTACTGCTGAAATCAGGAAGGAAATCTTCAGAAGAAACTCTGGTGCTGAATTGTAAGACCCCTGGACTATGTCTCCCACACTCCTTAGAAATGTTACACTATTTCTCAGACAGGCACCACTGAATATTTCAAGAAGCACAGATGAAACGCAAGGCAGACAGTTTTGCTGCAGCAGACCCCAGTGACAACGTACTCCCGGTTCAATGAACTCTTCATAAAAGTTGCATTTTCCCCCCCAATACAATATCTTCTCATAAAGTGAAATCCAGTTGCAGGAACAAAATATTGCACATTTGAAGAATCATGACTAGGCAGATAATTACTTGAATACATATATCATTTTAAATATCGCACTTTAGCCTTTGTTTCATCCAATAATGTCACTCACAAATTTAGCAATATTTAAGCAATATTTATTAATAATCTTAATGCTTAAGGTCATTCCATTGTAACTACATTTCCTTATTTAGTACCCTTTTGGTTTAGATAAATTGGAAAGATTTAAAAAAATTTTTTTTTTTTTTAGTTTAACCATTAAAAATATGTCCTGAGATTTTTCCATAATTTCATTCAAAAAGATATAAATCTCTAAGATGTGAAATGTCATAGTCTCTTGAACACTCACCTAAACCAGACTTTTTTAATCGTTTTAAGTGCTGACTTGTTTGTTTTCCAGTGGGAGATTTTTGCCCATGTTTCATTTCTTTATCTGAACTGTCTGCTTCACCATTTTTAGATTCGGATCCTAAAAAAGGAAATAGTTATTATGTCATTATCTTCCTCTTGCTGTCCTTGAAAAGAAAAATCTAAAATTGTTTTTAAAAACTGTAGATATAATCTCCTTTCCTAAGAGTTAATTCACTACCTTTGGCCACAATCTGATTCCTTTACTGGATACAAAGAGAAAGCCCAATAAATCAATCAAACAGAACAAAAAGCAGGAACAGATGGCCTAATAGTGGAGTCAAACACACACGTTCGCTGATCTGACAGCTTCTCAAAGAAACACTCCGATCTTTTGTAAAAATACTCGAATGAGCTTCGACAGTACTGTATCATTCAGAGACGATGCGAGACAGAAAAATGAGGCAAGAAGAGAAGCTTGAAGACAGAGATCACACCTTTATAAATAACTTTACGTGGAAGTAGGAACGGAAAATGCTAACACCCATCGATAATAAATAGAATGGTACATAGCTGATAAAGTGACAGGAGGGAAATTAGAAAAGGTCAGGGCTGCACTGAGGTGAGAAGAATGTTGCCAGAACACGAAAACTCATAAAGGATCCCCGCTTTCACAGCAGAGGACTGCAAAACAAATCCACACCCTCGGAAGAACCGCTTTTGATGGCACTGCACACCAGCATGTGGTCCACCATTAAAGTTCAACATTCAAACAAAAGCCAAAGCAACAACAACAAAAATCCACCTAGAAGTCCCACGTATTTTCTTCTACCCATTGACATTAGCAAGTGAAGTCCTTTGAGGATGAGTGAGCTGGTATCTTTTTTCTAAAAGAGCCACATACCCTATTTTTTTTTAATCACTAAAAGAGTCAAAGGTATTAGAAAAATGAAACAAAATCTCAGGTGGAAATAGTATTCAGTCGCAGAGAAAATTCATGACATCTCTCTTCCAGTGAGGAAGCCCCTCGGGGAAGAAACTGGCCAAGCATACCACATTTCAGCTCTTTACCTGAAGGCGAATCCGACTGCTCATCAGACACCTTTAATGGTGTCAAAACAACGCGAGGAACAGTCTTGTTTACCATCATTGAGACTCCATTTCTTCTTTTCTGCTGCTGCCTCAAAGCCTATAAAACATGATAATAAAATATAACATAAAAACATAGTCAAAATGATTTCTCGTGATTGAATTAAATGATCCATTTGCCCATCAGATAGAACCTCTTAAGAGACTTAAATTCCACAGAGTCACTAATTTGTCAGGACTCTTAATAGTCACCTTTATGTCATTTTCCCTCAAAAGCATACAATCAGGCTTTGGCAAAGGGTTTATAAACCTGAGACCCTTTTGGGTGCAATTCCGAAAACAAAGCAGTACAAAAGGTCTGTTCTACCTCAGCAGCGTGGCTTGAAAGCCCATGGAATTTGCAACCATGACTCCCAAGTAAAATAAATGTAAAATAAATGTTTCGAGACCAGGATAAAAATATATGTGTCTGCACTTCTCTTGCAGGTGCATCCTCTCCGGTGCACTGCTCAGTCAATCAAGTTAACACCGAGTGTCATCAGTATGTACAGCAGGTAAGGACTACAGTATTGATGCACTCACTCAGCCGTGGGGAGCGCTGCACAAAATCACTGAACATGGCAGGAATCATTTATTTCTGTGAAGGGAATCAGTCCTAATCTTGGAAACCTTGCAGCACTTGGCTTCTGTCTGCTTGACTTTGGGCATTAACCTTCAGAACACGAACATGTCGGCGTTCTGGCAAATCCAGGGGAAAAAAAAAATAAACAGATACGAGAATAAATCTCTCTAAATGGGAGAGTTGCGTGATTCATAAATGAATCAACCACGGTGATGATAATGTAATAAAAGACATTTAAAAGTTTTGAAATACAGCTTATCTAGCTGATCGATTTACACCGAAAATTACCTGTAATAAAAAGGGTCTTAAACTGACAAAACTGAACACACATTAAATTCACACTTACAGGAATGCTAAACCTCCTCGGGAGGTTAAAAGGCTGACCCCAGACAGTCTGAAACCTTTTTATTCCTGGTTTCTGTGTAATTTCTTCCAATTTTATAACATCTCAGTTACTTGATTAATGTTCTTTGACCAATAGCTGTCACAATCTGTTGAAACACTGCCCTGAGTACATATTCCCTTGCTGTCAGAAATGATGCCATTTTTGCAAAGGGTATGAGCTGAATGTCCAACTTGTTGATCACAGGAGTTAGCAATCCAATAATTACAGAAACAAAAAATTAAATGCCATTTAAATGAGAAAAGGCATACTCAGATTATATTTAAAACCAGATGGGAAAGGGAATGGTTTGAGAAATCTATAACAAATGGTTCTGTTACTAATAACATAAGACATCGTTCCTTCAATTCCTAGATATATTGAGCTTTTACAAAGTCCCTGGCACTGTAGGGGGACAAGAGATACAAAAATGAATAAGATGCCATCCTCCTCACCTTTTACTTGCTCTCAATAATATATTTAATGATAGCATGTGTGCTATAAAATATTTAAGACATTTGCTCTGCTTTCATCAAGGCATGCGCAAACTCTATAACTCGCTCTAGCCTTGTGTGAGAACACAAAGCAATTTATAGACATTAACCTATCAACCCAATAATAAAACAAACTGAGGCAACACAGTGCTTTAAATTACAATTAAGCACATCTTTATCCACAAAGAACTCACAAAATAATAAAACCTATAAGAATAATGACAAGTTTTTAGGAGGCTCTACATCACAGATTTAAACTATTTCTCTTGGCAATTGAAATAGGCATTTAAAAATATTAATTTTATGTCAGGGTAAAGAGGTATATTTTGGAAAATGTTGGCTAAGTCTGAACCAGTATGCTCAGTGGTTAGAGTGTTGACCTGTGCACCAAAGAATCCAAGGATGTGGGTTCGATTTCCAGTGAAGGGCATGTACCTGGGTTGTAGGTTCAATCCCTGGGCTGCCTGGAGGAAGCAACTGGTCAATGTGTCTCTCACAATGACATTTCTCTCTCTCTTCCCCTTTCCTCACTCCCTTCTACTCTCTCTAAAAATCAATGGAAAAAATATCCTCAAGTGAGGATTAACAAAAAAAGTGTTGGTTAAAAAATAAAGAGACATGAAATAACAAGAGACCTGGAAACTTGAATCATAAAATCAAAGATGGCCTACCCTTTTTAGAGCACTTTGTGGTAATAATTAAAGTAATAAAAACTTCATCTCAAGTTTTAGAGCTGAGTAGTCTCTATTATAGAAAAATTAGTAGTTGGATAAAAAGAAACCACGACAGAAATAATATAATGATAATAATGAAAACCCAGAGCTATTCTGAATTTTAAAAAGTCATGGTAGGAATAAAATAATGTCAATCAATATTGAGCCCATTTAAATGATTTTTTTCTGAACATGTATTTCCCACTCAGAAATTTAAACATTTTGTAACATAACATTTTTTAAAATACTGAAATGCAACACTTTGAACCTATAGGGGACTAAAAGTAAGAAAAATTACTGTTTTAAGTGAAGGGACAATGTACTTACTTTATGGTTTTACCTCTAAAAAACAAGCATTATATTCGACCCCAAATAACTTTTCTAGGGGTAAATAAGCAGACACTGGGAAGTCCGTCACAGCAGCAGGCTACTAGGTAAACTCAGGAGCATCTGAGCTCAGGCACCAGTAGCGGCATCTTGACCATATTTACTAGATCAAAGGTCACTTTAGGCAGAGTGATTTTAGGCTCACTGATATTCCAATTCCCTTTCTGGAAAGCAGGATTTAGTGACTGTGGACACTGAGGACTCCCTCCATGCAGATCTGGATGTGGAAGGACGGGGAAAATCAACGTTGACTCAAATGCAATGTTTAGGATAGACCATCTGGACTGGCTCCAAACGAGTCCACAGGCAGGTAGTACAGTGAATCCTGTCTTATATTCCTACACAGAGTAATATATTTCTTATATTCCTGATCTCTCGGTGTAGGGCTCGGATCCTGCAAGCAAAGAAGCTCATGGGTTTTTTTGGGCGGGGGTGGTGGTGGTGGTGATGTAATTATATTTCTGCAACTACATGCACATTGATCCCTCACGCATACGCTGCTTGTGTCCTTCTCATGACTCCTTGGAAAATGTGCAATGCTTTCTGGACCACACCAGCTGGGGTAAGACAGTGACTGAGCGGGGGGCTGAGTGAGTGGGAGCACACACACCTCACGGGGGTACAGGAGGGGCACTGCCTCTTCAAGAGCACCAACACAACTGGACTTGTAGGATTTTTAGGTGAGCTTTCCTGTTTTTAAACAATGTGCCAGACAAAATAAGAACGATTCTGAGTCCAAGTCGGCCTGAGGGCACCAATCTTTGACACCTACTAAACAGCATTCCCAATGCTCCTCACCTCACCAAATAAATGAGTCCGACCACTGCCCAAGAGAGGCAGTAAAATCCCCTCTTCTAAGTGCTGACCTGCCGACGCAAGGGGGGCTGCAGAGGGTGGTAATGACTGCGGGGTGCCACGGTTAAGGGCTGGGCTGTTCAGTCACAGAAAGACTTCACTAGCAGAGTACTGCAGAGTAAATTACTTGGGTAAATGTCCCTGTGAAACAAAGACAGTGTTGCTAAAATGCTTTAAATAGGAAATCACAGAGCTGTTTTTTATATAGGCTGTTGGGGGATGGTCAGTGGCCATCTGGCCTTCTCTTGGTAAGACCTTTGAAGCTGTGTCTAGCACCTCTCTTCACAACAGGGTACACTTGTATCCCATTGTCCTCAACTTTGAGCTCTAACTAAAATTCCAAGAGAACAGAAGTTTCTATTTCATATTATGTTACAAATACAACAGAAGTTAAGTGCTGTTTAACTTATAATTATCTAAATTTTGGTACCCCACAGCCTAGAAAATGTAAATCCATGTAATAGATGAAGAAAATAGGATTAGAAAGGCCACTTCAGCTGGTCCTGGAAGGTTTGCTCTGCACAAGGTACCATGAAAGGGGGAATTCTTTGTTGTTGTGGCAACTTGGGGAAATGAGGGCTTTTTCTGCTCCACACAGAAAGGTATTAATTAGCCCTGGTGGCGCTGTCGATCAATCTGCAAAAGGTTTTAATTTTTTTAATTCTTTTTCTTCATTGATTTTAGAGAGAGAGGAAGGTAGAGGGAGAGAGAGACAGAAACATCGCATTGATTAGCCTCCTCCTGCATGCCCCCCACTGGGGATCAGGCCCACAACCTGGGCATGTGCCCTGATCAGGAATCTAACCAGCGACTTCTTGGTGCATGGGTCGATGCTCAACCACTGAGCCACACTGGACGGGCTGCATATGGTTTTATTTTGACATTTATGTTACTGTATCAGTCTAGATATCAATGAGGCATCTCTAACTGCTTAAGCCTTACCTCTATATTGCAATGCTACTGGAATATCTTATTTAACAACTTTAAATCCTGTAATTTCAAATCCAGGAAGAAGCAATATCAAAACCTAAATAAACAAGTAGATGGCAAGTGTAAGTTCAGTCTACTATGCTGCCCACTGGTATAAAGTTCTCATGTCCAAACTACAGAATATATTGGTCTTGACAAGTTTAATACTTTCAGGTACCATTCAATATGAAAGAAATTTACAGGCAAAAACTTGAAAATACATTTATTTTTTAAAGGAAACATAGCAGAGCTACACCAGTCTAGAAAAAGTAAAGATCTAATCATAAATCCATTATGATTGTAGGTCTATGCGAAAAGAAAGAAATCAAAAGGTGATGACTCAGCATGATTTTCTCTAGAAATGTATTGCAATATTCTCTTATAAAGAGACGATACAGATGATGTATTGTAGAATTGTATACCTGAAACCTGCACAATTTTATTAATCAATGTTACCCCAATAAATTCAATTTTAAAAAGAGACCAAAAACCTGTAGATAAACATTTAAATTTATAAACAGAACGCTTCTGAGATAACTATGCAAACATGACACTGTTCTCATTTCTAGCCTAATGAAATATAAAACCTGAAATCAGAGGCTCTTGTATTAACTTGGAATTTGCATGAACAACGCCTGCTTTATTTTCGTTGAAAAACAACACCGACAATGTAACTTAAGAATGCACTGAATGTAATAAGCCCTTCAACTGAAAAATCTAAGCATACCACATGCTGTGAATGCTAAAATAATTACAAATAAAAACATATGAAACAGCTGGCTGTGTCAGGCACCAACAACTTGCATTGTTGCTGGTATGCTAAATGTCAACGCCCACGTTCAGAAACTGCTATCATGCAACATAACCTTTGGAATTTCACAGTATTGGTCAAACATATAAAGCTAAAGCAAAATGCCAATATTACCTGCTTTGTGATATGAAGAGGGGAAAAGGATATGCAACTTTATGAACAAATGCTACCACCCTACATAAATAATGAGAACAACACAGGCAAGTCCTCCACTATGTTACCTCCCCTAACAGACCAGACTGCATCCTTCTTTAATGTTTCATTTGATCCAATTTAAAAACATCCAAAATATAATCTTTTTAAATTATCCTTCTTTAAAATTCAAAATTTAATTCATTTCATACATTTTAGGATCATTACAACTAAAATAAAGAGACAGGAAGAAGACAGGGTACAAGGTAATTATCAGCAATCTGCTACTCTCCAGAAATTTCTGAATATCCTCATTCAGGGAGGAAAAAAAAAAAACTACTGAAATAATATATTATTCATGCAATTATAACCAACATATGATATTAACTAACATTCTGATGATTAGAAAATAGAAGGGTCTCATGTATTTAGGAACAATGAAAATAATCTATGTCAATAGCCAATAGGCATTATAGCCTCCATAATTACCAGCCTACAAACACACCACAGTCAACAGTAAAAAAACAAAAAAAAACAAAACACCACCAAAGAACTTATATGCATGTATGCATAAGCAATGGACACAGACAACAATGCTGGGGGGGTGGGGGCAGTGGGGAGGAGGGTGTCTGGGGGGGCAGGGAAAACATCTGTAACAAAAACAAATTAATAAAAATTGGGGGAAAAAACCCACTCTCTACAGCAACATGCTTCAGGTGGGGTGGGGGGTGCAAACTTAGGACTAGGAAATATATCTAGCTTATGTTGTATGGAGGTTTGCTTTAAATTACCATCTTTAACTATATTTATGAGTATAAAGTTACTGGATTTTGGTGGTGGGTTTTTTTCATTTACTTCTAAGAATCTACACTGGCCAATGTATAGTTGAACTAAAAAGCCCTACTGACTCAGAATATACTTCTAGTAAAATGATAAGAGCTAATATATTTTTATGCATACCATCAGTATATGCTAATACTACACATAAGCAGTCTGTGTTTGGAAATAATATTCTTAATGACTATGCTATTTTCCTGTCCTTACATGATACAAATATTCAAGAATGTACATTTTTCTTGAATGAAGTCTAAAATGTACATATCCTATTATACACCGTATGCTGGAAGGCAGTATGAGCTAAGAAGGCAGTATCTGAAATGATGATTCAGATTTACTCACTGGATGACCTTAGGTAAGTATCTAACTTCTCTAGACCTGTGTCTCCTCATTTGAAAAATGGGAATACTAGTACATACCTTACAGAATTTATATGAGGATTAAATGGCATAATACATATAAAATGTGGAGTATAATGCCTAGGATTCAGAAAAGTAAATGTCAGTCAATGCAATTATTATCAGAGTCATTCAGCTGGCCCTATGTTCATAAAATCATGATTTGTGCATGTAAATATATATACAAAACATATATTCACAAACACAGAACATAAATATATGGGTATATAATATATACACTTATAAAACTTCTACAGGGCCATTCAACCATCCAAATGAAAGGTAAGCTGCAGATTTGCTGAGCTGCTACAATTTAAAATGCCTCATGTTCAGTCAATTTTTGAAATGCTGTCTTAAGAAATTCAGCAATTATAGGGAATCTGAGCAAAATTCTGCAAGAACAGCTTTTCTTCTAAATGTATTTCCAATATGAATTTGATTATTAATCAACTATTAGCATAGCGCTATACTGTGTGCCATATTCCCCTGGTAACTCATTTGTTGGTTATATAATGGGATGTTTTAAGAAACTAATAAATAGCTCTTTCTGGATATTAAGAAGTTTTCAGAACAGATTTATTAAAACAAAGTTTAGATCCTAAGCAAGCATGAGTCACTTCCAATGAACACATGCTCTACAATAAAACAAAACAAAAAACCACTAACTCAAAGTTGTGCAATGTTTTAGTAATTGTAAAAAATGTTTAAATGATATAAAACCAAAATGAAGGAAGTAAAAAGTAATGAGACATGACAATACAGAGATGTGAATTTTTATCTTTATATTCACACAAAGGAAGATTTCATGGTGTGCACATTTTCTAAATCACTGCTTTTCAGAAGTATGACTTTCATTTATGATCGCATCCAGCATTCTTAAATGCTATGACTACCAGTACCTAGCTTTGTATCTTTTGTTCTTTCATGGTTAATATTTTATTACCTGCATCCTTCTTGCCACCTGAATAAGCCTTTCCTAGGCTTCCCTATCATCATCCACCCTTAATTTCAGCAATTAAAAAGGGACCTCAATACTGAATTCAACTTTGTTCTTTGGCATCTGAAACATTCACAAGAGCAGTGATATAAAGGGCAAAGACTATCTGACCTATGTAGGATGAAACACAGTTACTACCATAGATATAACCCCAATGAATGGAAACACTGCAATTTCAACAATACAGAATAAAAAATAACATAATCCAGTACAAAAATGTTAAATTTCGTTCTTAAGTGTCTTTGTTTGAAGCAGAGGAAAAGGAGGTGGAGACAGTTTAAATCTAGAAGATTGGATGTGACTATTAAGAAACTTTCCATATTAATGGAACTTTGAAAGAAATGTTGAACTTTATTTAAAAACATTGTTTCTCTTTTCTTGTTGTAAATACTGTATCACTAGAATGACACCAGACTAAGGGTCAGCGAGAGGTGAGATAGAGGAGACCTTCATACAAGGATCAAAATAGAAATGTAAGAGTAAAGCATGAATTCAGGGTTAAATATGCAAGCCTTCCATTTACTGACATTATTAGTATGACCATTACACAATGTCCCCGTCTAACCATAGCAGACTTTTCTTCCCTGCACAACTGAGCATGTGCCAGTGTGACAGCTGTAGCTAATGTTTACTGAGTGATTCCTGTGGACTGGACACTCACTCCACCACATGTTGTCAGTGAATCACCTTGCTCAATTCTCAGATCATTCCCACATTTTCTAGACAAAGAATTTGAGATTCAGAGAATAACAGTGGCTTGCCCAGAGTCACACAGTGAGCAGAAACCAAGGTACGTCCTAGCCCAGAGTTCAATCTTATAACCATCACCTCTCACCACTATTTCTGGACAAGGACACACAGGTCAAGACTGCCTATGTGACATCAGGATGATATTACAGAGGTAACCTCCATTCAGCACCAAACAGCACTCACTGACGATGGATATTCTGGAGGTAAGTATGCCACAAGTACTATTTTTATTTGTAACTTAATGCATCTCGGTAATGAGAAGGAAATTATCTGTTTATTTTTTTTTTATGTCAACTATCAGATAAACATGAGACCATAAATAGAGACACTATTTTCAAAATATGCAATTCATTTATGAACCCAATATGTTTACTATAAATCACATGCAAAAAAATCTTAATACAAGTCTTTCTATGTTTCCAAGCACATTTTCCCTCTTCTATTTTACATTAAAGTTCTCAAACAAGCTTCTCCTCGTTTTTAGCATAGGTTAAGATGACTGTACTAAATATTATTGAAGTGGTTGAATTCAGGGCATTTTTATTACCTTCTGATTGCTATGTTCTTATTTATGTTGCTTTCTCTCGTAAGATCCATTACCTTAAGTAGGTAGAAGCAAAGGATGGAGAACAGATGCCAGCTGCCGTACCTGTTTCAGAGCCTTTTTGGTGTGTTGCTGAAAGGAAGACACTAACTTGCTTTGCACCGCTGTGTTAGCAAGGCTTGAATCTCGAGTGGAAGATGCTTCATCAGTTACCTGCTTCGCACAAACTAGAAAGAGAGAGATAATGATATTACTAATTTGAATTCCTTTTTTTATATCCACTGTAATTAACTTGGAGCTTTTCTCCAATTGAAAATGGATACCTAAAATAAAGCAAAAGAGCACAGTAGAAAGAATATCTCAATTTGAAAGAAGGGATCAATTAATAACTGTGGCCGCAGTTACATTCAACTTAAGTCTCCATTTTCTTTCCCACTAATTGATGGTAATTCCTATGCCATAGGGCTATTGTATGGGCATAAAAAAAAGTGCACAGCCCTGGCCAGTTTGGTTCAGTGGTTGGAGCGTCAGCCCACGGACCAGAGAGTCCCAGGTTCAGGTCCCGCTGGGGGCACATGCCTCAGTTACAGTTTGTCCCTGGTCCCGGTTGGGGTCATGTGGGTGGCAGCCACTCAGTGTGTCTCTGTCACATTGATGTTTATCTCTCTCTCTTCCTCCCTCTCTCCCTCCTGCTCTATCTGAAGATCAATGCATAAGTGTCCTTGGGTGAGGATTTTTTTTTTTTTTTTTAATCCTCATCCGAGGACATTTTTCCATTTTTTGTACAGACAGAGTAGGAGGGAGAGAGAGGAAGAGAGAGAGAGGGAAACATCGATGTGAAAGGGACACATCGAGTGGCTGCCACCCGCACGACCAACCAGGGCCGGGGACAAACTGCAACCGAGGTACGTGCCCTTAGCGGGAACCGAACCCGGGTCTCTCCGAACCGCAGGTGGACGCTCTAACCGCTGAGCCAAACCGGCCAGGGCTTGGGTGAGGATTTTTTAAAAAAGAGCACAATATCTGCCTCAAGAGTTGGGAGTTAGTAGAGACTGCAAATCTGAACCTGGAGATCGGGCAATACACAGTATTGTGAAGAAACCATTTAAATTAATGAAATTGTTTTAAAGATATCAACCGTGGAGGTACTATCATTTTTCTATTCCTCCTCCTACAGAATGGCCTACTGGGGCATGTTCATCCTCTCCTATGGGCCACGTTACATAGTATGTAAGAGAAAAAATGAAATCCAAGATGCTGGGTGTCAGTTCAAGACAATTCTTTTCAAGAAAATCAAGCCCTCTGCAGATTACAATGTGATTGGCCATGTGCACAAGACTCAAGCTTTCCTATTGCCTATTCTACAGAAGACATTTTCTTAGAAAAGATTGATTATTTTAGGAAAACCAATGCCTCGTTGACATGTTACCAAAGGCCCACATTCACCTCCTGCTCTATGAAACCTATGGCAGAGTAGAGCACTTCTCTCGGTCCTCCTCAGACATTCCCCCCAGAAACGAGGTTTAACACCGGAGTGGCTTTTGCAAGAACACAGATGCGAACCCTTTTCTGTGCTCACTAGGGGAGAAGGAGTTATTTGGAAAATCAAAGTGAGTAGCACCGTGGTTAGTGGCAGAATGGAGGCATATGTCAAAGGCAGGAGGCAAGAGGAAGTTAGATGGAAGAAAATAACTTAAGAACATATCGTTAAAGCTCAAAATGTGACTTTTTAAGGGCAAGAGGGTTAACACTAATCCAAGAGAATTTTCCAAGGAACAGTAACTCAGGCAGATTCCGACATTCGTGTTTTTAAAAGAGGGGGGTAGAGTAAAAGTTATTCTAGTCCAACATGGAAGCATATGGAGGTGCACGGTGTTGAGAACACTCAAGCTGCTTATGATAGACTTGGGCGCATATTGCCCAGAAATGAAAATGTGGTTCATGAAAGATGATGTTTAGAAAAAAAAGAGTTCACCAAGTTTTGTTTTAATACAGAAAGTAATCAGGAAGCCAAAATGAACACGTTTTGGAAGATAAAATAATTATCAGTTATTAATGCCAGGCACTTAACATATGTGATCTCATTTCATCCTCACAGCTTCCTTGCAAAATGGACATACTGGAGAGACAAAACTAGAGTTCAGAAAGGCTCAATAACTTGCCCATGGTCACACAGCCAATGAGACCACAGTGCTGGATTCCAAGGCCAGGCCCTTAATTTTCCACTTAAAATATTTGGCTTCAAAGACAAGAACTGATGCAGAAAATTCAATGTCTAAAGAAGCCTAACTTACTTGCATCATGTTGGCAGTACTGAAATGGGAAGTTAATAAGGGCACAGGGAACAACTCAGCCCCTGACGTGAAAAAATTGAGAGCTGTTGGTGAAAATGATTGGCCCAGAAAATGCTATGGTTAAAGTAGCAAAAGGGTTTACCCATGGATATAGTAAGAGAAGTCCTTGAACTAAAGATCAGGTGACTTTTTCTATTTGATACAATATGACATTTTCCCTTAAAACAGTCTCAATGTTCTAGTTAAGAAACATTTTATAACACTGCTTGCATAAACCAGGGCTCCTTGAGTCTCTCCTTGAATGATCACTAGAGCAATCTGTAACACTTTGACAAAGCTTACTTAATAAGAAATATTAGAAATAATAATCAGTGTACAATGTAAAGATTAATTTATTTTTATACAGATTACATCGATAGCCTTTTCAATGTTCTGAAGTCTCTATAAAGTGTGACACATTGGGGGAGGGGGGAGTTTGGCAGGGAGGAAGTTGGCAGATGGAATATAATGATCCCAAATGATTGGACCCAAACGAATGTGGTATAAACCTAGCCAGAAGTAAAGTGTGCATTCGCAAATATATTTTATTACGTTTCCATTCTTAGAGAAGTATTTCCAACTTAAAAAGGTGTGTGTGGGGGGGTTTACTGGTTAATTAAAAAGAATAATCAAATGCACCACATGGATTTTTAGGGACTCCATGGAAAAGATAAGAATGCTTCTACCTACTAGACATGTAATCAAATTTACCAGTTTTCTTAGGAAATTATATTCTTCATAAGTATTTCAAAGGTGAACTTCAATGTAGCAGGATCAAAAACCAACAAATGCTTAATCGGGGTACATGTAATGAAAGCCTGTGTCCTTCCACATTTTCTGACTGCACAGTAAATGTAACCAGTGGCCCTTCCTGAGAACAACAGATACCTAACTGATGACTTGCTCTACTTCTCTTTGACTTAGGAAACCATTGGTAACATGCTACCTGTTTCAGTATCACTATATATGATGTATAGTTTGGTTTAAATTCACTATTAAATTCACAGTGTTAACAGTGATTCACATACATTTACACAGTGTTTCCAACAGGAAGATTTTGTTCCATTTAGAGGCCAGAATTTCTGATGGAAGGCAGGACAATAAAACTGAAACATTGTCAAGAAATACTATGAAGTTTTTTCTCAAGATGATTTATTTTGCTTTACACCAACTCTATTTCGCTTTATCTTGCCTTCCAAGACCCTAGTGCGGCATTGTAAGAATTCCTTTTCTATACAGTCATTTTTCTCCTCAATGCTTCTTTCTGGAATTTAGTCCTGTTTTTCTGGGTTAAACTATTTTCCCGAATTAGTTGTTTCTGATAAAATAATTATAGAATCTTAACAAACATAAATGGTAATAGAAAATAAAATCGCCCTGGCCAGTTTGGCTCAGCGGTTAGAGCGTCGGCCTGCGGTCCGGAGAGACCCGGGTTCGGTTCCCGCTAAGGGCATGTACCTCGGTTGCAGTTTGTCCCCGGCCCTGGTTGGTCGTGCGGGTGGCAGCCACTCGATGTGTCCCTTCACGTCGATGTTTCTCTCTCTCTCTCCCTTCCTCTCTCTCCCTCCCACTCTATCTGTACAAAAAATGGAAAAATATCCTCGGGTGAGGACAAAAAAAAAAAAAAAAAAAAAAAAGAAAATAAAATCTATAAGTGAGTATTCCTTTGGGTTAAAAACACTTATAAGGGGGGGGGGGATAAAAACATGGGTGGGGTGCAATGTAACAAACCCCTAGATTTCACACAGTATGCGTGTGTGTGCGCGCGTGCACGCGCATGTGTCTTGACAATATACACTCTTAACGTGGGCATATGTGTCGCATAATTTATTCTTTTGCCATGTATATGATGAGAGTGGCTACCTCTAAAAACACTAAGTAGTCGAATTGTGCAGGTTCGTGCAAATTTATATTCTGACAAAACACATGGTTTCCACTTTTACTTATTCTTGTAGCTTTCTTAATAACAGATATGATAAATAAATAATAGAGGATTTATTTTAAACAGTTGCTTGCATATTTATCCAAGGGACTGAGTTTGGCCTCTGAAACACAAGCCAAAGAAAATGAATGTTAAAGAAAGGACCAAGGGAAATCCCCTGTACACGAAGTTACAACAGGAGCCAGGAAACTGAAGAATTAGGACAGATGTTTTATCCAATAAATATCAAACACCAACGTGCTGCTTAGAAAGTGCTATCTTCTTGGCCCTCAGAACAGAATGGGAGGTGTTTTTCCTAACCGTGCACTGGCACCATCGCGAAACGAATGCCAGGATTTTATTCCTCGAAGCCCCACGGGACTGCCTGCTCTTTCACAGGTAGACAGACCGAAGGTGAGGAAAAAAGTTTTAAAGGTACAGAAATACTATTTCCGTCTACACATTTCTTGCCTGCCCAAACGACGCAAGCCAAAAACACAGTTAAAAGCTAATATGCTATTTCTAAATGGAAACAATTAATGGGATTCTCAGTACTTGCTGCTCATCTACATCTACTCTCACTCAGATCCCTGAAGCCCTCTCGGCAATATGCTGTTTAGAAGGCTCCAGAGCAAAATGAGATGGAGGATTGCAGGTCATCATGAGACAGGCTGGAAGGCTGGAGAAACTGGCCACTGTATTCTAGCAAGACTGCATTTCAGCCTCTTTCCTCAGAGTCTCCAGGATGTCCCTCTCTCTCCTCTTTTCATTTCACCGACTTGAAAATGTGATTGAACTGGAAAATATGGGTTAGAGCTCATATTTTATTATTATTATTTTTCAAATATGTATTTATTGATTTTTTTTAGAGAGAGAGGGAGAGATAGAAACATCTATGTGAGAAGCATCCATCAGCTGCCTCCTGCACGCCCCCTACTGGGGATCGAACCCACAACCTGGGCATGTGCCCTGA